TGTTCTGCTCCCCACTCTGTCTCTGGTGGATCTTCTCACCCACCTCTGCCCTGTACACCAGTTCTATAAGCATAAGTAAATACATCTTTAAATATATATATATATATATATATATTACTTTCACAAAGTATTTTGGTATTCTCAACTTCACTTAAAAATTCTAACATACATTCCCTATAATCCAGAAAAGCAAAATATAAAAAAAACTTAATATTTATTGAAACTAAATACTATTAGTCAATATAAGCTAGATCATGTTGCAATAACAAAGGAACCACAAATCTTACTATAAGCAGTGAATGTTTATTTCTCTGTCATATTATACAACTGCTGTATAGGATTTTACTCTTTTACTGTCACATCGCTGTACTTAGCTTTCAGGAAAAAACAGACTTATGACTAGCCCAGCACTTGACAACTTCAGCCTAGAAATGATACTTTCAGTCTTCTACAAAATGTCTAGTCACTTGAACATGCCTCACAGAACTGTTTTCTAGGAGTCCAGGAGGGAAAACAAAGTGAGATATTGATGGCCTCTGAAAATTCTACCTCAACTACACATTGAGATGCAAACATATTGACCTTGGATATTCCTTTTAGAATGTATTAAAGTGCTATATGCAGTTAGCTTTATTTTATAAAACAGACATCTCCACATTTCAGATAGTAAGTTTCTCTCTTATATTTCTCCATTTCCTCTCCTTCCTTCCCTCCTCCCTCCCTCCTTTCTCCCCACTGCTGTCCCTCCCTCCCTGCTTCCTTCCTTCTTTTTCAAATAGGTCAAAGAGTCCACGCTTCCTATCATGAGGAAGAAAGTGGCAGGATGACAGAAGAAAATGGACTCCAAAATCTAGAACTTAAGTCCAGACCTGTATTCTGAACTTATGGTGTCACACAGCCTCTTCCCAACTGCCAAATTCTCATTGGATGATTCTCCAATGTTGCAAACTTTAGCCATTACTTTTTCCTTTAAATATGCTCTTTGTCTCTATTTGCTATTTCATTCCATGTCCCCACATGCCCGAGGTGTGATACCCTGGTTACGATTTAACTCAATTACTAGATTACAAACAACTCTTAAATCCATGTATATCTGCTTCTCACACCTCTATCACCACCTCATCATTCATCCCACCTTATGTGATGGCCATTTACTTTGTCTTGAATTTATTCTGAAATGTTAACGAGATGGTACCCTCCCTTGACTTAAATTATTGAACCCACCACCCATCATTTTCAGGATAAAATTACTCTCACCGCATCAGTCCTGTCTGTCTTTCAAGCCTTGTTCTCATTGTCTATGCTTGTTCTTCTTACCCAAATAACATGCTTACTCTCACCAAGCATTTACCTTGTCAGGAAGTCCTATCTATGATTGCTAAAAGAATGTTCATTTATCAAGTGAGTTGTTTGAATGTACAACAGTTTAAATTGAATGGGTGCAATTTTCAAAGTTTGAAAAAGCTACACTTCCATGCAATTCAGATGCAAGGTGAAGGAATTGAGCACAGTAACCTTTTTAGACTAGCAGAGTAGCTCTTCCTTTGACCTTCTCTGTGCCTTTCAGTTCCCTTTAATTTCTATTGTTTCCTCCACACTCTGACAATTAATTTTATTTTTAACTTACCAAATTCTCCCCTTTCCTTCCTTCTCTGACTAAATTCTAAGCTTCATTAAAGACCACACATTTCATTTGTGGCAGTTATCACATAGGGCTCTCAAAATGTACTTGTGAGTGAATTATAGAATGAGTGCTAGTGATAATTAGCACATCTAATTCTATAATGTCAATCAAAAACCATTTAGTAAATGGCTCTATATTCTAGTTTGGTTCCAGTCCTTTGGATCACAAAATGGAGGAGGAATATACAAGATTATATCACTGTCAAAGGACACAGTGCCTAGCTTGTGACACAGGCACGCTAAAGGTACATAACACCACAACACAGGACAATTCATGGACAGTAGAAATAAGAGAAGAGAAACAATGTCATTCAAAGCAAAATGGTTTGGCGCACCTGAGGTTAATGGGAAGATATTGTGAGTTTTACAAACGATCACTTAGTGAATAACTACGTTCATCCATACACACACACAACTTCTGGAAGTAGCAGTCTCACACCCTAAACATTGTTAAAATACAATGGAAAACATGGAGAAGTATATTAGGGGCTAATTCAGTGTGGAGGTAAAGGAGAGGAGGATGGCCAGAAGGGACAAACAAGTGGAATTCTCCAGGTGACACAACTGTTAAGTATGTTGCATCAATGTTGATAATCTGGCTGTGGTGATATACTATGATTACAAACTATCATTAGAGGAATCTAGGAAAAGTGTACAGGGATCTATTATTTTTTAGAATTGCACAACTCTCAATATTAGCTCCAAAAGGCAAATCCTAAGTTAGAAATGAAGGTGACATAATTGAATAAAACAGAAATTCATGACTCAATAAAATATTAAAATGAATACATGAATGGAAAAAGACAAAAGTTTATTTCCACAGAAGAAAGTGAACTAAAAAAAAAATTTTTTTTTAAAGATTTATTTATTCATATGGAACTGGGGTACAGGCCAGAGATGCGGAGGGGTGGGAGGATTCACCAGAGACAGAGAGAGAAGCAGAACAGGCAGATCGACGAAGTACACTGCTGAGGGGAGCAGCGGGTGGGTCAGGAGAGGTCTGCCACGCCATGTGGTCACCTCCGGGGCAGGTGGGAATAGAACTCATGCGGAAGTGGCTTTAGCTTCTCAGTGCTGTGCTTTAACCCGCTGCGCCACCAGGGAGGGCCGAACTAAAAATTTTTTAAGAGAAAAGCTAGAAATTCCTCATTTGGCATCCACTGAAATAATGAATATTTAATCAAGAAATGTCAATGGAGGCTGAGACATAATTCTATGAGGAACAAAATATTTACATAAAATGCTTATCACAAAGGGGAAAAGATAGAAACTTGAAAGATATAATCTTAATCATGCATTCAAAGTTAATATCACTAGTAACAGAAAACATTAGTCTCATGTACTACTTGGTAGGTCAGTGAGAAGAACCACAAAGGCACTTCTGTCTTTTGTGAGGAAGAAACATCAGATAAACCAAAATTGAATGCCACTTTTACAAAATGACTGTTCTGTGATCTTTAAATGACAAAGTTGCAAAAGGTCAGTAATAGACTAAGGGACTTTTGAAGATTAACTAATTTGTGAAGACTCAAGAAATATATGACCAAACTTGATCAATCTCTTGACCAGTATAACCCTGATAAAAGTTGAATGGGGGCAGTGAATAAAATGGCGGTATGTGTGCCAATGTTAATTTCCTGATTCTGATGGCTAATTTCCTGATGTATTGATTGAAGTTATGAAAAAGAATGTCTTTGATTATAAGAATTGCACAGTATTTAATGATGAGGAGGCATTATTTGACAACTTCCAAGTGACTTAAGGAAATTGTTCTGCATGTTTGGCAAACCTTTTTTGCAAATTAGATGTTTCAGAATTAAAATTACGTTTAGCATTAAAAATGCAATTTATAATTTTCTCCACAGTCCAGAACTCAAGAGATCACAATGTGCCCAATGTTCCCTAATTCTTCCAATGAGTAACAAGATCAACTGAGGACAACATGATTGAAAATGGGATTTTCTAAATAAGGGGTTGGCACACTTATTCTGTACAGACTTAAAGGTTTTAGACTTTAAGAAACCATCTCTGTTACAATTGTTCGACTTGGTCATTGTAGCACAAAAGTACTATGTTCCAAGGTAGCTTTATTTGTGGACTGAAATTTGAACTTCATATAATTTTCATGTGCCATAAAATAATTTTTCTTCATATTTAAAAATGTAAAAACCATCCTTAGTTTAGAGGTCACACAAAAGCAGATTTGACCTGTGTGTCTTAGTTGCCCAACTCTTACTCTAGGTTTAATATTGTCTTTACCTGCTGCCAACATTTAACAAATTAGTAAGTACTCTGTCAAGATGAGTGTTCTAAGTTTAAAGAAAGAATTAGCATTTTATATGTAGACTCTACAAGGTACAGGTGAATATCATGGAATGAAAAGACCTTGCTTTGGAACACTGGTCAAATCTCTTGGCTCTGAGCTACCCACATTCACTTCTATCGGATGGTGAATAAATTGAAGTTCATCCTAATAAAGAAATGCCAATTCTCTGAGAGGCTAAGATCAGGAGAAGCAATTTGTTTCAACATGTCTTGGTATAAAAAAAAAAAAAAAAAAAAAAAGATTTGCTCATCTTGGAAATAAAGAAGGAGCCTAAGAAGTGTTTCTACAGTTTTTAACCAGCCAGGTGTCAAACTCTAGAGGAAGGGCTAGAAATCATCAGAGAAGTTAAGAAACTAGTAGAATAAACAAGAATATGAAGAGTGAAAACTAAAGCAATAGTCATTCGGGAGAGGAAATGAGAAACCTCGAAGATTCATTCATTGTAGAAAGTCAATGAGATTTTTGAGTCTACGGATTTATGGTTTCAATAACAAAAGAGGGGGTAATAAGATGTGACTAATTTGTGAAGAGGAGTTCTAAGACATTTTGATTTCTAACCATCTTAACAGCCACCTCAATTTAAAGGCCCAGCATTCTCTGCTACATACTCATGGAGACATTCATGTAAAAAAGTTTATCTTTAACATCTTCAACAACATGTTAAATATATAATTGGCAGATACCTATCACTTATATCTTGTATTAAACATGTAAGCAAAGGCTATTATGACTTTACTACTGGAGTACTGTTCTAAAATGCTGTCTCTCCTTGCATGGATAATACACCACCTTATGAGACTTTGACAAGACTGATTACCAAAGTTGGAAAAAAAAACAGCTCTGCACAGGAAAAACAATTGCTGCCTTCACCTCAGAGTTCAGAGGCCGTTTGACAGTGAAATAAAGTCCCAGGGGGAAGACGCCATGCAATGTAAGCTGGAAAACTCTTGGATCAGAGAAAGAGCACTGACCAAAACCACACATTACCAAACACTGATTGAGAATGATTTATTAAGGTCCAATTAGTGATTTTCATTCCCAATGGTCCATAACTCCTTCAGAATATATGCACATGAGAAGTCCAAGTTCATTTTCTTCACTTCCAATATAGAACACTGTATTTTTCATACAGTATGTGCAAATACCATTCTGCTCTCAGGGTCCTGTGCTCTTTCACTGTGGACAGTCTGCCTTCTGCTCCGATGCTGACACGCATTGACTTCCTCCTCCCTAGGAAGTCAACTGTTCTTCTGTGCATCTTTCTCTTAGACGTACTCCCGACTTTCCTACACCTGCCTCATGACTGGGATTTCATGGGACACTTATTACAACAACTTGGTGAAATTACTAGTTAACCTGGCCAATGCATGAAATCCACCTCATTTAACATGGTGACAAGTCTTCAGGGTGGATCTTAGAAAATACACTGTATCCAGTCACAGACTGACATGCTCACCCCACTTGCTGTAGTAAGGCACCAAGCTTTTTAATAGGAAGATCCTTTATTCACCCGCACACTTGATTTTTTTGCTTTTCCTTCAATTCTCCATTACAGTTGTGGCTACCAAGAACATGTAATCAGTCACTCCAATGAAATTTAGGATTGAGAAACAAATTAGTTAGGGTGTCTTTGTTATTAGTGACAGTTGATTGTTTCTGTTCCATCTTGAACATTCAACTAAAGTAGCCACTTCATGTCCTTTGTAAACAGAAAAAAAAAGTAATTTAACTGGCATTCCTCACAACTGCCAAACATGCAGTGCAAAAGCAGGAAATCCCTTTTATAAAAGGTAAGAGCATAAAAAAGAAACTTCACATTAAAAAAAAAAATCCTTCATGGGAGTATGTCCTAAGTAAATATTCAATTATATGGACAAAGTTTTATGTACAAAAAAAATTTGCAACATTATTTATAACAGTGAAACTGAGAAATAACCTAAGTAGTCCACAATATGAGAATGGTTAAATAATCTGAATTGTAACCATTAAATGGAATATTACATAACCACTAAAACTGTGTTTTTGTAAAGCTTCAATGCCATAGGCAAATATGGCAATTCTGTAGTGGAAAAAAAACAACAACTGTCTATAACACTGGCTACAGTATGACCCCAATTATATAAAAAGGTATGTAATATACAGACAGGCATACAGAGGAAAAGCTGTTAACGGTAGTTATTTCTGGGTTGTGATATCAGTATTTTTTCTGGCTTATACATTTCTGCTTTTTTCAAGTTTTCTACAACGACTACATATTATTTTATAATACAGGAAATCACAGGCTATTATTAAAAAAAAAATACTCCCCGGATGTACTGGTTATTAGAATGTACTTGGATATGATAAATATGTGGGGAAATATTACTGTGCTTCAATTTCTATGAATTTTTTAGAGCATATGTACTTTTAGAGCATAAATTTCCTGTTTTACACTTACAAAACTTTAAGAAAAAGGTAATATTGTGATCAGCACACTGTTTCATGACCTAAACAATACTGGTTTTAACATCGAGGTTCTTCTATTTCCTAGATTTATAATTGATACACTTTTATTTTTTTAAGTTAGGTGTAGTGCATACATACATTACCTGCATGCTTTCTAAAACAATAATCCTGATAGTTTTCCAATATTAGGAAAAATGGAGTTATGGTAGCTTAAAAACAGTCTATAGTTCTTTATCCATCACAAGCATGCTGATAGGCATAAAGATGTTTATTAAATGAAATGTATCCTTCAATAATAAAAAAAGGGAAGCCTGTATGTAAATGAAGTTGTGGGTTCAACTAGTCAGCATTCATTCTGACTTGCACCAAACCACACAAAATCTTCTGAAGTCTAGTCAGTGTAGTCTAATGGACCCTCCAGAGTCTACTGTGACTTCCATAGCAAGATCTCCACTTTTTACTTTCAAAAGGCCTATGGGAATCAGGATGACGGTTGACACCTAAGCTAACTGTAATATGTATCAGGCCTAGCAACAAATACTGCCATTGGTTAGTGTTTAAGTACATGAGTTTGTATTTCCTCTCTCTCAGACCCCACCTTGCCCTGGCTTTTGGGAAAGGGGAGATTATTCATTCATGTTTTAGCACTAATGGCTGACTTCTCGTCGTAAGTTTCCTTTCTAAACCACAGAGTGGTCATTGCTGTGAACTCCAGCCAAGATGGTGTGGTTGAGGGAGGAAGCAGACCGGTCCGAACCTTCTGTGGGGCCACTGGTGTTTTCGCTGCGCTGGCAGCAGAGAATCTGTCTGAAGGTGGCGCTCATCTCCTTGTCCCGGTAGGAGTAGATGATGGGGTTCATGGCGGAGTTGAACTCGGCAAGCAGCAAGAAAAATTTCTCATAGGCCAGAACGTTACACTGTGGACAGCACACATCGAGGAGTAATAAGACCAATCCAGGAGTCCAGCAGATGATAAAGGCACCTACAGGGACGGGGAGAGGTGTCAGAAGGGTTCAGAAAAGAGAAGAAAAAATGCAATTATGCAACAAGCCACCATCAATTGAAGTGATTTCAGTTCAATATAAACATACTGAGAGTGGAAGTCACCCGATTCACATCTGAAGTGAAATTTTTATTTTCTGAAACAAAATCAGGAGAATTTAACAATGAAATCAATTAACATTTCATGAATTCAAACCCTACATAAAGTGAGTAGTTATGCCACACATGATGATGGAAGTAAGCAAAATTGGCTTTGCTTAACTATTTAGACATGAAAAACCACATTCAAGTATACACTTCAACACTTTTAAAAACATAGTTTTGAATCCCATAAGAATATTTCCAAAAGATAAACATTATGACCAATGTTTGGTTAAGGTTCTTTCAAGTTGACTGGATGCAAATCTTGGTTTTGCCATCTAATAAACTGGGTGAACCAGGGAAAATGACATTTTTCTTCTTTTTTTTTTAAACTGCCCAGTCAAGATACAGAACAGAAATGACCTGGACCATCTCTTTTGATATAAGTATATATGGAATGTCTTCATAATTTCTCTTTCTGAGAGTTTGTTATTAGTCTCAGAAGGGTGACTTTTTTTATATTTTGATTTTGGGTCCTGCAATCTTACTGAGTTTATTAGCCCTAATAGTATTTTTTTTCCGGTGGAGTCTTTAGGATTTTCAATATGACATCATATCATCTATAAACTAAGACAGTTTTATTTCTTCCTTTCAACTTTGATGCTTATTTCTTTTTTCTTGCCTGCATGCTCTACCTAGGACTTCCAATACTTTGTAAAATAAAAGTGAATGAGAGTGGACATCCTTGTATTGTGTCTGGTCTTAGAGGACAAGCTCTCAGTTCCTTTTATTTTCAATTTGTTGACAGCTTTTATCATAAATGCATGTTGAATTCTGTCAAATGCTTTTTCTGCATCTACTGAAGTGACCCTATGTTTTTTCTATGCTTCATTTTGTAAATGTGCTAGAGCACATTGGTTGATTTGCAGATGTTGAATCCCTGGAAAAGTCTTACTTCATCATAGCATGTGACTCTTCTAATGTATTGTTGAATTTGGCTTGCTAATATTTTGTCAATGATTTTTACATCTATGTTCATTAGGAATATCGATCCATAATTTTCTTTTCTTCCAGTTTACTCATCTGGTTTTGATATCAAGGTGACAGTGGCCTCATGAAATGGTTCTGATATATTCCCTTTGCTTCTGTATTTGGGAGAGTTTGAGAAGGGTTGTTTAAATATTTGGTGTCATTTAACAGTGAAACCATATGGTCCTGATTTTGTTTGCTGGGAGGCTTCTAATAACGATTCAATCTCCTTATTGGTTTTTAATTCTGTTCAGATTTTTTATTTCTCATGATTAAGTCTTTGTAGATTGTATGTCTCTAAAAATTCATTTCTTCTAGGTTGTCGAATCTGTTGGTATATAATTATTCCTATTAGTCTCTTATGAGTGTATTTCTCTGTGATTAGAGAATCATTCTACTTTTATGTTTTTGAGTCCTCTTTTTTCTTGATAAGTCCAGCTAAAATGTTGTCAGTTTTGTTTATTTTTTTAAAAAACACCAGCACTTAATCTCATTGAAGCAAATTACTTTCTCCCCTGACTTTTCTCAACTGAAAAACAGAGATTATATTTATTTCATTAGGATTGCTGTAAGGATTAAATAGTCCTAAAAAACAGTCACTCTAGATATCTTAGCAATAATTACAATAATATTGTTAATATCTGCTCAGAGCATGGGCCTGTTTAGAAATGACAAATAATAAGAAAGATGTTAACATTTATTATTTTCAACAGTCATAGTGTTTTCTATATCTTTTACAAATATTAACTCATTTAATCTTCACAACAGTCATTGATATAGAACCTATCACCCCCATCTTACAGATAAAGAAACTGAGACTGAAACTTGCTGAAAGACAGAAGTATAAAGTGTCAGACAGGAGACATGTGCCACAGTTTCTGCTCTTAGAGACTAGCTCCAGAATTCACCACATCAGAGTCCACAACACCGTATTATCTGTTCCATGAATCAATAAATGTAATAGCTAAACCAGTTTTACATTTTAGTTGGTTAACTTAATTTAGATCAACTCTGGATTTTTCCTCAACTATTCTGAGTTATTAAGAATTTATTATAAATTTAAGAGAAATATAAATACAAATTATAATCTTAATTCCCATATATTTCATTCCTAAAATCATTCATTTGGCTCCCAAAGAAAATCAAGTTTGTGAAATAACAGTAAAGTTTACTACCACAGTACACCGGGATCTATTGGGGATTCTTAACTAAACAAACAAGAGCCAAGAGAACTCGGGGCCACTGTCATGTCCCATTTCATCTCACTGAATGGGTCCCACATGCATCATCAGGCAACACAATGAACAAGGAAGGGATAGGAATGTTTCCAGAAGTGAATTTGAATCTTTCCATCTAAAAGTCACAGGCCTAGGTGGTGCAAGGCTTGGACTGGGATTATGATTTGGATTAACCTCAAGGAATGAACTTCACAAAATGTAAATAAACAAGAGTTAATCTCCAAACAACCTCATTTAAATGTGAGTTTTCTTTTCTGTGAATCTTTTCAGCAGGGAAATCAAAATAAAAGAGAGGAGTACTCCCTCACAGCTCTTTGTTCTAAAACAAAAATGTATATTGGTTTTAAACTGCTGTTCACTCGGAAGACTGTCCAAGGTGCTTTATTTTCTAGTAAGTACCTTTGACTTCCTAGGAAGGAAAAAAAATATTTCAACTATCAGGAGATAATAAGTAGGGAGCTATTTGAATTTCAAGTAAAAATGTTAATAAAGCATTTATTCCTAGTCCTTGAATTTCCTTGCTTGAAAATCACTCAGAAAGTTAAACATAAAGGAAAATCAAAGGAATGCCTCTTGGGTTTCAGAAATAATGCATTATTCATTGAGAAGCCAGGAAGGGAATTATTCTCAGGGTGGAAAATGCTTGGATGGAAAAATGCATGGTCCCATTATTCCATTTACTTGGAAACCAAAAACATACAAACCCTTTATGAATGGGAGCACATTTTTTCAAGTTTCCTCTCCCTTTTCTTTTATCAAATCTCTATTTGAACTCAAATCTAGACTGTGATTAGATACCATTAACATGCAGGTCAATAGGTTTATTTTAAATAAAATTACCTTTATATCTTTCAGATAGTATAATGGAACATCCTGATTCTTAAGGACTTGCTCAAGTTGTACAAATGTTCAAAAGTGATCATTCAAACCCAGTCATTTGTTGTTTGCAAAAATCTAATAACATTTAAGCTCAAAAAGAACAGGATCTTCTCCTAAGAAGACATGGTCTCAGGAACTTGCCCAAAGGGTCTTACTTTTACACCAAAAAAAATAAAAGCAAGGAGATTACTAGATTAGACACCACAGCCTGACACCTGCGCTAATGTCTAGACACCTCACTGAGGAACTCAGGGCCCTCTCCCTTCTTCTTCAGTGTAAAAAACTGCTTTGGTGTTAATGATAATACCAATCGCTATCCCAATGCTGCATTTGGTTCCTCAAGACTCACTAAGTAACTTAAGGAATTCACAGTAAAGGTGTCAACAACCAGCACCAAATACCAATCACAGAATCTCCCCTTCTCCCATTCCTTCTCGTTTATAGAGGGGCCAAAGATCAAACTGACCAAAAGATACATATACAAAAAGAACATGGCTTTTTTGATCTACAGAAATGGGAAAGGAAGCCTAAAGAATTCCGAGGTTATTAGTCTTCTAAACCACAGTATTATAAAAACAAGTTTGCTTGAGTTAAGAATTTCCTTTCAAATTTCTAAAAACAAAAAGTATACCTAAACTCCTTTAGTGGGAAGTAGCCAACCATAAAGCATAATAGGACTTGAGATAAAAGAATTGTATATGGAGCCTTATTAACACATATCCTGTAAAGACACAAGTACTCACCTCTAGGGCAGGTTGATAAGAGCAAAAAGAATCTCCACTCAGCTATACACCAGAGAAGTAACAACTGGTATGATGAGGATCAGCTTGAGATATTAAACTGTGAGTTTAAATAAGTGGCGGATGGGTGGAAAATGTGTGGAATCATGTGGGCAGATTTCCTGCATGACATGGAAATACATTTGCAATCATGAAGACCTGACATTTCAACATGCTCTTAGATGATGCTCTTATATACAAGAACTGGGTGTAGACCACAGGTGTGGGGGTGAGAGGATTCACTAGAGACAAAGTGGGAAGCAGAACAGATACCGTTCTGAGTATGAGACTTTTAGAACTTGTAGTTAGACATGCAGAAATAACAAGAAAGCAAAAAGAGAGAAAAACAAAAAGAAGCATGAGGACCTAAATCATTTTGGAGATTCTCATAAGCCAACTCAATATCTTCCACATGGAAAATAAACTGGTATTCAGAATAGACAGTGGTTTGGGGAGTTATTGTATTTCCAGAGAATTTCTGACAGATGAATTCTCACACAAATAGGTATAAGCCAAGAGTTAGTATGTAACACATGGCGTAAGAGAAAGCACAAATGGTTTATAGCTACTTACTATAAAGTCAGGAGCAGGGTGGCAGAAGATAATATGTTCAAGGTCACAATGACTTTGTATATTTATCTGGCTTGAAATTTCTCCTGTCCAGCCTTAGTTCTCAAGCTAAATATTATAACAACCTGTAGAACTTATAAGAAATCACAATCTTCACCTATAATTTTCCCAGTGAGATTTTAATTTCATTGATCTCATTGGTCAGTCTCATTTAATATAAAACACTGTAACATAGCAGAGGAGGAGGATCTGAATAAAAATAAAGGCAAAAACATCAAATATTTCCAAAAGCCTGGGGCAAGAGAGGTTTGGAAGCACTGCAAAGAATTTAGAAGGTTGGACTGCATGGAATGGACAAGAAAGGAAAAGAAGTTTGGAGTGAATCTTTGATTTTCTTTTTTTTT